GGCGCCGAGCCTGTTTGTTTATTTTTAAACAAAGTCTTACTTTGTTACCTTCACTAGAGTGCTTTGGCCTCATAGCTCACAGCAACCTCAAACTCTTGAGTTCAAGTGATTCTCTTGCCTCAGCCTCCCGAGTAACTGGGACTACAGGCACCCACCTCATGCCTCACTAATTTTTCTATTTTTAATAGAGACGAGGATCTCACTCTAGTCAGGCTGGTGTCGAACCCCTGAGCTTAAGCAAACTTCTCACCTTAGCCACCCAGGAGTGCTGGAATTATAGGCATGAGTCACCACACCTGGCCTAAATGTGGAATTTTTAAACCAAGCTGGGCTGTGTCTTCATTATTGAGTAAAGTCTGTTCCATTTTGACATTTCATGAAATATTTTATTATCATCTAGCATCTGAAAAGGCTAGTGGTACTAATAAAATGTTACTTAACAATTATTGATACCTAGAAAAGGAAATTGCCTTGTGGTCTATCTTCCCAGAAGATGACAACCCTCCAGGAATTCTATCAAGCATTCTTGGGCTTTAGAAATAAGTGCCAATCTTGGTATTTCACATGGTGTAACCACCTAATATGCCTTAATGGCCTATTATCAAGTTACTGGACTAGGATAGGGAGAGCAAAAATAATCCTTCCTTGGGATACTTGGGAAGTCCACCCCCTACACAATCACTCTGAAGCAGTTAGGGAAGGGAAAATGATTTTCCAACTACCATCCATTGTTGGTATTATTTTGGGTTTTTTTTTTAAATAATACATTAAGAATGTGTTTTAAAGATCTTGTAGGCTCAGCACCTGTGGCTCAAGTGGCTAAGGCGCCAGCCATATACACCTAAGGTGGCGGGTTCGAATCTCCAGCCCGGGCCCGCCAAAACAACAAAGACGGCTACAACCAAAAAATAGCCGGGCGTTGTGGCACGTGCCTGTAGTCCCTAGCACTCTGGGAGGCAGAGGCAGGAGACTCGCTTGAGCCCAGGAGTTGGAGGTTGCTGTGAGCTGTGATGCCACAGCACTCTACCCAGGGGGGACAGCTTAAGGCTCTGTCTCCAAAAATAAAAAATAAATAAATAAATAAAGATCATGTATACTTCTGGTTAAATGGCTTTTTTTTTTTTTTGAGATAGAGTCTTACTATCACCCTCTGTAGAGAGCGGTGGCATCACAGCTCACAAGAACCTCAAACTCTTGGGCTTAATTGATTCTCTTGCTTCAGCCTCCCAAGTAGCTGAGACTATAGGCGCTCACCACACACCTGGCTATTTTTTTGTTATTGTTGTCATTGTTGTTTAGGAGGTCCTGGCTGTGTTCGAACCCACCAGCCCCCGTTCTTGTGGCCAGTGCCCTAACCACTGAGCTATGGGCACCAAGCCTGACCTTTATATGTTTAAAGCAGTTGTCATTTTAATTGACCAGGGATAACGTTTGTCATCTTTGAAAATAAAAGACTTCTGCACTCTTACTTGCTAGGGACACTTGTGAAATGGGTCTTTGTACCGTGTTTCCCTGAAAATAAGATACTTATATTTATTTTTTTCTCAGGAAGACACACTAGGGCTCATTTTCAGGAGATGTCTTATTTTTATTATATATAATACAACAATCTTATATTTATTTTGTCTTATATTTATTTTTTCTCAAGAAGACACACTAGGGCTTATTTTCAGGAGATGTCTTATTTTTATTATGTATAATACAACAATCTATATTTATTCAAATACAGTTAAGTCATCTTCTGGAACCTCACAGGGGAGCCAACCTTGTTGGTGGGATTGGTGCTAGTGATGTGTGAACTCCTTTCCCCTAGCTGTTTGCATGTGCCTGCCACTGCGGTTACCACCCGTGCACCCGGGCACGTGCAAATGGTTCAGAGAAAGGAGCTGTGGCAGATAAAAGGTATTCCAGTCTTCCTTACCGCTCTGCATAGCCACACCCATCACTAGGTCTTATTATCCAGGTAGGGCTTATATTTAACAAATGCATAGAAATCCTCCTAGGGCTTATTTTTTGGGTAGGTCTTATTTTTGGGGAAACACAGTATTATTTTTTGATATTGGTATCTTAGGTACCCAACTTTTTAATTTAAGATGAGGGGTTCTAGTTTTAATACAATTAAGTAAGAATTAGTTATGAATGCTTTTGTCCTTTTTTTTAAGTGTTCAGAGGCAAGCTTTCTAGAAAAGATTTAATTAGATTAAATAGACTAAAATGCATTGATCTTATGTACACAGTTTACTAAGTGTTGACGAATGCATACACCCATGTAACCACTACTGCAATTAAAATATAGTGTTCTTCACCCTACAGTATGGAGTAGGCTTCCATTCACCCCACAAAGTTCCCTCATAACTCTTTCTAGCAATGAGAACAGTGCTAAATGGGACTGCTTTAGATAATGTAGTTTAATATACAAACCTCTTTTTGCAAACAGGTTGTTCTGGTGACAGACGGCTGTCTTGGCATTGGTAGAGGGTCACTACGACATTCCCTAGCTACTCACAATCAACGAAGTGAGAACAACAGATTTCCACTACCTTTTCCTTTCCCATCTAAGTTATATATCATGTGCATGGCAAATTTGGAGGAGGTAATACCTTTTACTAAGTTCTTTTCAGTTTGATAAGGTATATATGAGGGTTCAGTTTATTTTTTAGTGTATACCATTAATACTTTATTGCATATACTATAACATTGAACTCCATTGGTTTCAGCTGAGGCTTATCACTCTGTTAGAAAAAATGCTGGATCTCAAATGTTTTTTGAAATTTCAGAATGTTACTCCATCTGGGAATATATCTAGAGTTATACAGCCCACTGATGAATGCTGAAGAGTCAAAGTGCTCTTTTGGGAATTAGTTATTAACCTCATTTAGGAATTCCTATGTGTATTCTACCAGAAATGTTGACAGAAGTGTGCTTTGATTTTTTTGGTAAAGTTGCTTTGATGTGTATTATTAAATACTTTACTTCCTAGTTTTTCTCTTTATTTGGGAAGGTTGTTTAGCCTTTCTTCACCTCAGTTTATCTCTTTGTAAAATATAATGATGGTTCTTACCAAAAGGTTTTAGAAACACTTTGGAGGGAAGATGCTATATAAGTAAATACTGTGGTCACTTCTGAGAATCTTCACAAAATTACTTCTGAGTGAAATAGCTTTGCTGCTTTCATTTTATATAACATTCATCTGGGGTAACCTTGAGTCAAAATTGTTATAGTTATTATTTCTCACAAAAAATAACTTTAGGAAATCATCTGTTATTTATTGACTGCTTAAAAAAACAATGTTATTTATTGCCTATGTTATTGTAATGGCTTTGACCTTGGTTTGCTGGTAATAATTTGGCATTTTGTGCCACATTAAAGGGTTCATCTCTTTTGCTTTGTAGCTTCAGAGCACCGATTCCTTGGAATGCCTTGAACGTCTCATAGATTTAAACAATGGCGAGGGACAGATTTTTACTATTGATGGTCCCCTGTGCTTGAAAAATGTACAGTCTATGTTTGGGTGAGTATATGCTTATAGCTTTTTTGCCTTCTTTATAATATAATACAGTATTATAATTTGATATCCATCAAGAATGTCTATTTTACTATTTCTGACTGTATCATTTCATTTTTCCCAAGTTGTACATTTTTCAGATAAAATTATGGGTAGTAAGAGTGTTTTTAAGGCTCATTTCCTTTTAAATTAAGCACAACTAAATCTGTAATGCCTGTAGATATTGATTTCCTTATGACTCAGTCTTTTCAAAGATTAACTTGATTTGCGCCTTTTCAGAATTGAAATTTTCTTACCACAATGTCAGATTTTGTTCTTTTTCACAAATGGCCAGTTCTTAGTTTTAGAACTGGTTTAAAAGGAAAACAAACTTTGGATCTTAAAAAATTATTTTTTGTGGCAGCACCTGTGGCTCAAAGGAAGAGGGTGCCGGCCCCATATGCCAGAGATGGCAGGTTCAAACCCAGCCCCAGCCAAAAACAGCAAAAAATATATATATATATTTTTGCATGTATTGTATTACTCTTCCTATAACAATTAATCATCATATTCTAGAAAACTGATAGACCTGGCATATACACCTTTCCATGCTGTTCTCAAATGTGGCCATCTAACCGCTGATGTACAAGTCTTCCCCAGGCCAGAACCTTTTGTCGTAGATGAAGAAATTGATCCTATCCCTAAAGTCATTAATACAGGTAACTTTAAAAAAAACTTCTATCTTACAAGGGTACAAGTGAATCTTTTTAAGAGTAGAATAAGAACGTTTTAACACAATAACTAAGAAAATGACATGAAGGCTATGTTAATCAGTTTGATGGAAATGTTTCAAATTGTATGTGAAAACACCACACTGTACCCCAGAATGGCATTAATGTATATAGTTATCATTCAATTAAAAAAAAAAAACTTTCTGTTATCTTTACTGTTTTATAACTTTTACTCTTCTCTCTCTAGGAGGATTGAAAAGAAATGTTTATTCTGATACAAATTGAGTATCCTTGATCCCAAATGCTTCAGACTAGAAGTATTTCAGATTTCAGATTTTTTTGGGTTTTGGAATATTTGTATTATACTTAATGATTGAGCATCCCTAATCTGAAAATCCAAAATCTGAAGTGCTCTAGTGAGCATTTCCTTTGAGCATTATATCAGTCTTCAAAAAGTTTCTAATTTTGGAGCTTTTCAGATTTCAGATTTTCACATTAGAGAAACTCAACCTGTACTAGCGTGCTATTGTCATCAGCACTTTGGAATGTAGAATGCCACCTAAGGGGTGGCAGAATATTGGTCTTTTATGGTGAGGTCACAAGTTAACCTCCAATTCTAGACATTTATATCCACAAATTGCTAGAGTTGGAAATCATGGCTGGATTCACTAGCATTGAAATTTTGGGAGTGATTCTTAATAGAGGTGCTGAGATTGATTAGCATCATAATTAAGGTCATATAGGAAGGGCTAGCTTTTAGATTTTGCCAAGTAACTCTTATTCTGTGACCCTGGGAAGTCACTTCCTCTAGTTCTTATTGACCAGGTGGGTGTAATCAACTAGATGATCTCTAAGCACTCAGCTGTGACATACAGTATCCTCCTAGCCCTACTGCTTATATTATGACTTTACCTGGTTTCTGTTGCAGGTACTATGCTTAGCTAAGATAGGCAAAGTGAAGTGTCAAATATAGCAAGGAGAGGAGACTTGTCTCCTATTGGTGGGTGGACTCCTTGAGTGATGAGTACATGTTAAACCTCTTGGGGATTGCTGTCATCACTGTTTCAGTCACCGTGCAGCCACAGAACCCAGCATAGTGTCTGAAGTTTAGTAGCCACTCAATAGGTAATTATTCAACCAATAAATAATTAAGTACACAGTAAATCCTCATGATTTGGGGTACACATATTTTAAGGAGTTTTAGAATGAAGAGCTGTCAACACATTTTTTATTTTTTGTGCCTTTAGCTTCTGGCTATCTTGAAGCAAGGCATCCATCTCTTTCATTGTGACTAGGCAACAGTGTATTAAACTGCACCAAATATCATCATGTGAGCTTCAAATCAACTAGATTCATCATTGTTTTTTGTTGTTGTTGTTGATGAGTAACTTTGAGTAGACCTTTTCGTCCCATGTAAACTTTAAATCTTAGATATTTGTTACAACTTATATTTAAATTACTTTAAAATATAGTAGGCCTTTTCTACTCAAGTGGTAAAAATAATGTACTTTCCCATAGAGTAAATTAATTCTATGTTGATTCCTTCTTTTCAGATTTGGAAATAGTGGGATTTATTGATATAGCCGATATTTCAAGTCCCCCAGTTCTGTCCAGACATCTGGTCTTACCTATAGCACTTAACAAAGGTGAGTTCTCTTCCTACTCCAGTGATACATATGAAATCTTATTATCTAAAGTTATTCTTAAATGTTAGATAGTAGGATAGCGCTTTTTGCAGAATATAAGGGAAAAGAATAATTTACAGGGCTGGATTTTTGAAAGTGGAATGTTGCCTATTATACCAGAAAAGTAATTCTATTGCTTTCCACTGTTGAGACCATTTCAATACATACTGTGTGTTGGTTTGTGAATTTTTAGTGGAAGTCCTCTCTAGAGATGATAAGACTTAGTCCCTTGTCCAGGGCTCTTCTTTTGCTAGTAGAACATGCTAAGAAAGCCATAGTATAGTTATCTGAAGATTGCTTCTGATAAATGGGGAAGTCAGATACAGTTTCAATAATCACACATGTTCTTTGTTCTACTAGTGCTAAGCACATAGTAGATACTCAGTAAATAGCAGTGAGTGAATGGGTGAATCCAGGCCCTTGTGGGTCCTCATTGCTTTAGGGTATGCTGCTCTAGCAGCTATCAAGTCATGTCCCCGAATTCATCATCTCTCTAGAGAGTGCTAGCCTCTAGCTTTTTAAAATTCTCTTTTTGTCTGTTCTAGGCTCACCATCACTTTATATTTATCAGATTTCTCTAAGAAGTGTATGTAATGGATCATATTTCTACTTACTGAGTTATGATCACATTCCACATAAGCCCATATTATCTCAGTTGGAGAATTGGGTATTCTGTAACCACTTGATCACACATTCACAGACAGAATCTTGGAGCCATAGATAGCTTATTATGATCACTGAATTTATAATATACCTTACTGTTCTCAAAGAACAACTGGATTTTCCTTATTTCTAAGGTCCTATGGGAATTCTGCATGCCCATATATTTGCCAAGAAAGAAATTGAGCAAACTAATGTGTTTATATACGGGAACCATAGAAAGAAAAATATGGGAAGGCAGAATAGGCCCATGTCGTAGGGATTGTTGAATGCACAGCTATATGCATTCCCTCCAGCTTATGGGGCTGGCACCCTACTCCTTTGAGCCACAGATGCCACCCAGCAAACAGATATTTTCAGAGGGAAGTTAATTATAGGAAGATTCATCTGTAAGCAGAATATATGAGGGAACTTGGAGCTGGAGAGAGGCCAGTCAGAAGCTTACAATCATTGTTTACCTTTGGGAACTTGGATTCACGTGCTATCTGAAGGCTATCAGTTAATAACAAATTTGAAGCTGAGCACAGTAGCTCACACTTAGAATCTCCTGAGTTTCTGGAAGCTGAAGCAGGAGGATCACCTGAGTGCAGAAATTTGAGGTTATAGTGACCTGCGATTGCACAACTGTGCTCCAGCCTAGGTAACACAGTGAGATCCTGTCTCTTTAAAAGACAAACACAAAAACCAAGTCTGACTTCTCTGTATCTTGTTCTGTTTAAATGGGTGCCTAAAACCCCAAGATAGCATCTCACTCAGCATCTGAGTAGAACTGTAGAAAATGGATTTTTTTTAATAACAGCTTTACTGAGATATAATTCACATACCATACACTTCACCCATTTAAAGTATGTAATTAAGTGGCTTTTAATATATTTACAGAATTGTGTGACCATCACCTTTTTTATCACCTAAAAATAAACAACTGCACTCTTTTCTTTTCTTTTTTTTGTTTTTTCTTTTTTAGAGACAGAGTCTCACTTTATCACCCTCAGTAAAGTGCTTTGGCATCACAGCTCATAGCAACCTCCAACTCCTGGGCTTAGGTGATTCTCTTGCCTTAGCCTCCTGAGTAGCTGAGACTATAGGTGCCTCCCACAATGCCAGGCTATTTTTTATTGTTGTTGTTGCAGTTTGGCCGGGGCCGGGTTCAAACCCGCCACCCTCAGTATATAGGGCCAGCACCCTACCGACTGAGCCACAGGCACCGCCCAACACTGCACTCTTTTAACTATCAATTCCCAGGCCCTAACTCTCTAGCCCCAGATAACCACTAATATTTTTTGTGTCTCTATAGATTTGCCTATTCTGGATATTTATATAAATGAACTTCATATAACATGTGAAAACTGATTTATTTAATTAATTAATTTATTTTTTGGAGACAAAGTTTCACTATGTCACCCTTGGTAGAGTGCCATGGCATCACAGCTCACAGCAACCTCAAACTCTTGGGTTGATTCTCTTGCCTCAGTCTCCCAAGTAGCTGGGACTACAGATGCCCGCCACAATGCCCAGCTAGAAAACTGATTTTTATATGGGCATTGGAAAGCTGGAATGAGTTTTCCTACTTGTTACAATATTGTTGTATAATTCCGTACACTTTCCTTTTAAGACTAGAGATACAATGGGAGTTTAGAGTTTTTATAGCTGACCTGAGTATATTTTTTTCTTCTTTTCACAGAAGGCGATGAGGTGGGTACTGGCATCACTGATGACAATGAAGATGAAAATTCAGCCAATCAGATTGCAGGCAAAATACCCAACTTTTGTGTCCTGCTTCATGGCAGTCTAAAAGTAGAAGGAATGGTGGCAATTGTTCAATTAGGGTAGGAAACTTTGTTTAAATTTGCTTGAATGAAGTGGAAAATCAGTTTATAAAGTATTTCACATAGTTTTCTGAAAGAAAAAGAAAGGTCTTTGTCACCTTTTTCCTCTACCTACCATACCCTGCCCCCTGCTGTTGCCCTCTAAACTGCTCTTTAAATCATCCGGTGGAATAGGTATAAAATGAGCCTTTTTAGTTATATTGCCTTTAAATTCATTTTCTTCTTTTTTTTTACCCTATCCCAGCTAGGATATACGGGTTCTGGTTATAGCAGTGCTACTAACTTGCAATAGGATCTTAGACAGGATTCACAGATGCCTCATCTATACCAGGAAACATAACGGGGTAGAACTAAATGAAAAAAAGATGCTGCTGACATTAAGTATTTTATGAACACTCCTCTGGGCACTTTACATATGTCACCACATTTAAACCCTTACAACAACACTGAGAGAGGGAGGTATCAACATCATCTCCCCTTTTTTTACAGAGTTAAAAGATTTAATGACAGAATTAGAGTTTGGTGTAATAGTGAATCAAAAGAGCAGGAATTGTCTCTAAATAAAACAAAAATTATATTTGATAACTTAGAGAACTTCTGAGTAACTGTAATAATATCAGCAGTGTTATAATTCTGAAAATGAAGAGCAAAACCTATCTCTAATATCCTTTATTTAGGGCATCCTATTTTTTTTTTCCATAAATACACAACCTTTGCTAGTCACAAAGGTATTAAAAAAAAAATTCACTGTAATTTTAAGTCTAACACATAATCTTAACTTTTTAAGAACTTAAAAAAAGTTAACTACTGGGCAGCGCCTATGGCTTAAAGGAACAGGGCACTGGCCCCATATGCTGGAGGTAGAGAGTTCAAACCCAGCCCCAGCCAAAAACACAAAAAAAAAAAAAAAAAAAAAAAAGTTAACTACTGATCTTCGTACAATTTACAAATATATTCTTTAATATGAAACATTAACCAGAATAACTGCATACTTCTGTACACGGATATCTAATAATACTAGTGAGCAAGACTACGTTCCAGGAAGAAGTGGTAACACTGAAAAGTTTTTCTTTATGTGTTGTCAGTGTAATTTGAAAAGTCCTTCACAGAAAGCATATGTGCCCCAAATTCATAGTGAAGTACAGAAATAAAACAAACTGAAATTAAATGTCTTCTAGCCATTCCAACCATATGAGTCCTAAATGATGTGAATTATTTTAGCAATTTTCTCTAAGTTAGATTGTCATAGTATTGTGAATGCAGCACCTTCTACAAAAGGATAGCAAAGAACTTCACATGAGTTATCCCAAGGCTCCTCTGCAAAAGGCTGGGCGGTAAAGGAGGGTCAGGGAATGTGGTACCACAGCCTATTTGCTGGTGGAAGCCTAGGCAGGACTTAGACACAAGGGAGGTCAAGGGTATGGACCATTCTTCCTATCCAGGCTAAACATTATCCCCATTTTATAGATGAGGAGGCTGAGGCTTAGAGAGGTCATGGACCTTAACCCATACTCACACAGCTAGTAAATGAGACAGACAAGATTTTTATCCATGCATTCTCACTCCAGGTCCCATACTCACAACTTCTGTGCTGTATTCCTTTCCTGTGAGGAAAGCCCTTCTAGCTTTTACATTCTCTGCGGTCTCAAAATCTGCAAAACTATCTGCTTTCTTTTCTATAATACCTAATTGTTAGGAAAGAGGAGGTGACTAATCATCTTCTGGCCATCATCTGGGGTTGACTGATACAGAAGTTCAAGAGATAAGGATTAACCAGTGGAAACATGGCTCCATTTCTGCTGTAGTTAAAGTTAGCCAGTCTAAAAAGAAGAATGTAGTTCTTATTAGGCATTAGTCTTTTGTATTTCTTGGCACCCAAGCTCCTTGTACTGGCACTAAACATGAGACTCATCTGAAGCCCTGTGAGAAAGTAGACACAGAGTGTCTATTAAGAAATGAGGTAATGGGCTTGACACCTGTAGCTCAAGCAGCTAAGGTGCCAGCCATATACACCAGAGCTGGTGGGTTCGAATCCAGCCCGGGCCTGCCAAATAATAATGACACCTGCAACCAAAAAACAGCCAGGTGTTGTGGCAGGTGCCTGTAGTCCAGCTACTTGGGAGGCGGAGGCAGGAGACTCGCTTAAGCCCAGGAGCTGGAGGTTGCTGTGAGCTGTGATGCCATGGTACTCTACCTAGGACAATAGCTTGAGGCTCTGTCTAAAAAAAAAAGAAGAAAGAAAGAAATGAGATGATGGCTTTGTACTCTTGTGTTAGCGGCTTCTCTGTGTTAGTGCTACTGTGAGTGACTCACGGAAGCAGCTAAAAGGACCTGTAGGTCACAGCTTTTCTTCTTCCTCATCAAGTACTTAGTCCCCTTTCTAATTTGTTTTTTCTCTTTTGAGACTGCTTTTGATTTCCATTTACACATAATTTAACCTGCATAATAACACAGGAGAAAGGAAATATTATTGAGAGAGCAGTATATATTTACAGGTTTAGGATTTGATTTTGGTAAAAGTAATATGCCTGATTTCAAAGCTGAACACGCTGTCCCTCAAGAGCAAAACACAAACTCACTAGACTGACTTAATTTCACAGTTTCAGGCTTGATGTTCTTCTGATCTTCCATCTTCTCTCCATCTAGTCCTGAATGGCATGGAATGCTCTACTCCCAAGCTGACAGCAAGAAGAAATCAAACCTCATGATGTCTCTCTTTGAGCCTGGCCCAGAACCTCTCCCATGGCTAGGGAAAATGGCACAGTTGGGTCCTATTTCAGGTATAATCCAGATCAGATTTTACTTGTCTTACTTTGTTTCCTTTCTGCTGTTCTGAATGTCTCTGATTATGTGGTCAGAGAGCTGCTTGATCTCCCTTACGGATATGCTATGGTCTCTGATGATGCTGGATATGTATATGAAGAACTCCAAGGAGAGTTTTATGTAGGAACTCCTAAATTTCACAGCTGAGGGGAACTAACATTTAGATTACTTTAAGTAAACATAAATACTGTAACTGCTTAGAGTGAAAGCTAATTTTCATAAATTTTTTTATTCTTGATGTTCTGTTTTCAACCCAAGTAATTTCCTGTCATTCCTAGATAATTTAATCCATCTTTCTTCTTGAAACCATTTTCCCTTAGCTTTCCTGACAATGCATCTAGTACCTATCTGACTTTTTCTTTTAAAACGTTTCTTTCTCATTTTGTCTTTTCTTCCTCCTGCCTCATAGTTTCCCACATGTTCTTTGGCTTCTTCTCTTGGGTTATTATTCTTCCTTGGTTATTTCAGCAGCTGTAATAGCTTCAGACTCCCCAGATCTGCAACTCTAGTCCCACCCAGTCTCTCCCTGGAATTTGAAATGTCATATTTCCAGTTCCCAGTTGCATCTTTCCACTTGGATATTCTGCCACAGTCTCAAACTCAGCTTATTACACACCATTGTCTCTCAGCCCTTTCTTTTTAAACTGTTCCTTCTGAATTTCCTTCTTTTGATTGAAGGTTTGTGCTACTAACTATTCTAGCTCCAATTGTAGAGTCATCCTTGACTCACTTGGGCTCATCTCTATTTCAGGAACATCTACCAAGCAACCTATACTGTGCCAGGCCTAGGGGATAAAAGTTAGCTAGAGTTGCTCAAAGTCTAGTGGGAAGTGGAGAAATATGCACAGACTGGCATAAATTAGACTTAGCCTATAAGAGATGGTAATCTGCCCTGCCTGAGGACTCGGGACAATCTTCACAAAGAGACATCCCAGCTAAGGTTTGAAGAAAAGGAGGAATTAGCTGAGCCAATGAAGGAAGAAGGGCATCCTGGGCAAATGGAACTCCTATAGAAAGGAAGGGAGCTGGAACACAAAATGTGAGCGTGGGCATGGGGGGTATAGAGTTAGGTTGGAGGTTAGTGGTAGCTAAAGTGGAGCAGGCCTCATCTGCAGTATGAAAAAGCAGGATTTTATCCTGCAGATGTTGGGAAGCTGTTAAGAGGAGTAATGTGATCAGGCAGGCCCTTCTGGCTACAGTGAGAACTGGGGCACTAGTGAGGAGATTTGTGTTCTAGGTGCTGGTACCTCCTGGAGTTGTGCAATATGTCTGTAATTCAAGAACGACAAAGTAAGACTCTGTCTCAAACAAACAAACAGGCAGTACTATTAATTGAAATAGAAAAAGAGGAAGAAGAGTATAAATTTGGGAACCACATATTTCATGCGTGTTGAGTTTGTGCCTGAGATCTAGAGGTAGAAGTGCCCAGAGACAGTTTTGTTGGAGTCTGGAGTTAAGAGAGAGCAGAGCTGAATATAAAATTTTAATTATAAGTATCAATGTATTCCCAATAGTTAAAAGGGGCAGTAGCTCACAGATACGAGTTTTTGTATACAAAAGTAAAACCTAAACACTAAATGTTCTCATTCATATGTGGGAGCTAAAACAATCGAGCTTATTCTATAAGAATAGAATTGTGATCATTAGAGACTAGAAGCATGGTAAGGAGGGGAGGATAGGGAGAGGTAATGGGTACAAAATTATAGCTGTGACAGGACTAAGTTGTTTTGTTTTTTGAGACAGTCTCACTTTATCATCCTCAGTAGTGTGCGATGGCATCATAGCTCACAACAACCTCAAACCCTTAGGTTCAAGCGATTCTCTTGCCTTAGCCTCACAAGTAGCTGGGACTACAGGGATCCACCACAAGCCCACCTATTTTTAGAGACGAGGTCTCACTCTGGCTCAGGCTAGTCTTGAACCTATGAGCCCAGGCAGTCCACCTGCCTTGGCCTCCAGAGGACAAAGTTTTAATGTTCTGGTGAATATGGTTAATAATTTAGTGTATATTTTTTAAAAGCTAGAAGAAAGGATCAAAGAAACACAAAGAAATGATAAATGTTCAAGGTGATAAGACATGCCAGTTTTCCTTATTTGATCATTACACATTGTATATGTGGATATAGATATCATACTTTGTCCCATAAATAGGTTCAGTTATTACATGTCAATTCAAAATAAGTAAACACAAATCTGGCGAACTTGTTTAGAAATCTTGGTAGGGGCAGGAGATTCTGATTCAGTAGTCTAGATTCAGGTCCAACAAAAATATTTCTTCTCTTGCCCTTAGTTTGGCTAGATACAATTTTTTTTTTTTTTTTTTTACTGTCTAGACCTATTCTGTCTAATCCAGTAGCTACTAGCTACATGAGACTATTTAAATTTAATTAAAATTAAACAAAATTTAGAATTCAGTTTCTTACACACTAGCCATATGTCAAGTTCTCAGTAGCCAATGGCTACCTATCCTCTTGGACAGCACAAAGTTAAAACATTTCCTTCATCGCAGAAAGTTTTGTTGGAGAGCTCTGGGCTGAACTACATAGAATTGCATATATACTGTGTGTGTGTGAATATATATCCATATATATTTAAAATGTGTATTTACTATATATGCCTAGATATTTTACTATAAAATGTGTTTACTCTATAAAGCAGATAAATGAAGCTTGTTTCTTAAAAACATTAAGCTGTTCTTTACTTACGAGGGCTTCCTTTTGATTGGTCTCTTTATCAGTAGCTTTCTATTGAGAACAGGTCCCTCAACCTGACTGAAGTTAATGGATTTTCCTAATTAACAAAGCTAATAGGCTGTAAATGATGTGAGTGATTCAAAAAGCTTCTACCCTAACTGGAAATGTAATTGATTGTGTTTTGCCAGATGTCATCTCACAGATGTCTTTTTCTTTTAAGATGCTAAAGAAAACCCTTATGGTGAGGATGACAATAAGAGCCCATTTCCCCTGCAGCCCAAAAACAAACGCAGTTATGCCCAGAATGTGACTGTCTGGATCAAACCCAGTGGCCTGCAGGTATATTACCATTTGTTGCTTTCCACTGGGGACAAGAGGAAGCATTTGGACAGGCAGGCAGACATTTGATTTGATTTTCCTTTCCTTTGATACTTAGTAATTAATTTACTTCTAATGTTTGTCATTATTTCTAAAAAGGATTTGAGGTGGCCTACAGTAAAACACATAATGACAAAATAATTTTTTATAAGATTTAAAGCAATAAGAATCCTAAAGGAAGAAGGAAGACAATTGTGCCAAGAACCTGAGGCAAAATGATAATTATATTTGTGTAGTTTGTCTTTGAGCTTCCTGCAACTAAGGTCAAATAAGAAACATGTTGGGTTATATAGTTTTTCTCATCTGATAAAAGGAAGCACATTTCCTGGCGTTGAAATTTAAAGTTTTTCAGGGCAGCACCTGTGGCTCAAAGGAGTAGGGCACTGGCCTCATATGCCAGAGGTAGCGGGTTCAAACCCAGTCCCAGCCAAAAACTGCAAAAAAAAAATAATAATAATAATAATAAAGTTTTTCAGTGGTAAGGCATTGAATAACATAATGGGTGTTGTCTTTAACAGTAGTTTTGGAAAAGTTGTAAAAGTCTTTATGTGGTTATTTCTGCCATCCCTATAGTAGAACCCAAGCCAGCTACTCAGCTAAGGCACACAGGGACATTTTTCTTTCCATTGACATAAAGTCATTTATACCCATTTTTAAAAATCATTCTTCACACTGTGTTCTCCTTTGATCACCTTTATTTACATTTGTTTACCCAAATGAGTAAGTCCAACCTAAGCCAAATGAAGAGGCAGTCAGGCCACCTGGACAACAAAAGTAGCTTTTGTTGACTGCATAGCCTCTTTGAGCCCTCCTAAAGACTGAGCCATATCCTGCCATAGCTAAAGGGGAATAGGTCTCTGTTAGAAAACCTGGGTCTCTCTCCTCCTGCCTCTGACCCCAGCACCTCCTTGTCAGGATAATTAAAACCACTTCTACCACCAGGTATATAGCTGAATTTTTCCTTTTCTTTCTTTTTTTTTTTTTTTTTTGAGACAAAGTCTCCCTGTGTGGTCCTCGGTAGAGTGCTATGACATCACAGTTCACAGCAACCTTAAACCCTTGGCTTAAGGGGTTCTCTTGCCTCAGCCTCCCAAGTAGCTAAGACTCTAGGCACTTGCCACAACACCTGGCTATTTTTTTTTTTTTTGCAGTTTTTGACCGGGGCTGGGTTTGAACCTGCCACCTCCAGTATATGGGGCCGGCACCCTACTCCTTTGAGCCACAGGAGCTGCCTTCACCCAGCTATTTTTTTGTTGCAGTTGTCATTGTTGTTTAGCTGGCCTAGGTTGGGTTTGACCCTGCCATCCTCAGTGTATGTGGCTGGCGCCATGACCACTGTGCTACGGGCGCCAAGCCAGCTGAGTTTTTTTTACATTATTTTTTAAATTTTGTTTTAGTCCTGGGTATATTTTTTTACTGTGGTAAAATACACATGAAATGTACATTTCAGCCTTTTTAAAGTGTACTATTCCGAGGCATTTAGTACATTCACAAAGTTAAACAACCATTACCACTATCTAGTTTCATTTTAATCACTCCAAATGAAATCCTTGTCCCCACTGAGCAGGTGGTTCCACCTTCCCCACTTTTCCCAGGCCCTGGCAACTGCTGATTTGCTTTCCATTTCTGTGGATTTGTCTGTTCTAGATATTGCATCTAAATGGAATCATGTAATTTGTGGCTTTTGTATTTGCCTCCTTTCACTTAGCATAACACTTTCAACGTTCATTCATGTTGTAGTACACATCAGTACTGTAATATTCCATTTTATGCCACATTTTGTCTATCCATTCAGTTGAAGGACATTAGGGTTACATTTTGCTTGACTATGAATAATGGCGTTATGAACATTCATGTACATGGTTTTGTCTGAACATTTGTTTTTAATACTCTTGGGTATATACTTAGAAACGGGATTGCTAAGTCATATAGTAATTCTGTGTAATTTATTGAGAAATTGCCACACATTTTCACAGCAGCCATACCATTTTATACTCCCACCAGCAATGTATAAAGTGTCCAGTTTCTCCTCATCCTCCTCAGTACTCTTTATTTTCCATTAGCCATTGTAATGGATATAAAGTGGTGAGTCTTTGTGGTTTTAATTTGCATTTCCCTAAAGACCTGTAAGGCACATCTTTTCATGTGCTTATTTTCCATTTGTAGGTCTTTGGAGAAGTATATCTACTCAAGTCCTTTGTCTCATTCAAGTCTTTGCTTTTTCAACTAGATTAATTGTCTTTTATTGTTGAGTTCCTTTATATTCTGGATAGTAGACCTTTAGTAGATAAATATGATTTGCAAATATTTTCTCCTATTCTGTGGGTTGCCTTTTCACACCCGTGGTAAGTGTCCTTTGATGCACAAAAGATGTTAATATTGATAAAGTCAAATTTATGTTTTTTTGTTTTGGGGGGGTTATTCTGGCTTTTGTTGCTTATGCTTTACCAAATCCAAGGTCATGAAGATTTACTCCTACGTTTTCTTTTAAGAGTTTTATAGTTTTAGCGCTATATTTCTCTAACATTTAGAGCTATCCTTTTGTATTCTTTTCCTCTTTTTACCACAGAATTCTAATATTGGATTTTTTTACTGTTAATAGACAGATGTACAGAAGATTTTAAGAAATGCAAGGAAACTACCTGAAAAAACACAGACATTCTATAAGGTGAGACTGTCAGAATTTTAATGGAAAAGAGGATATGCCCAAAATAAATAGTGAACTTGTGAGGTAGTAGTGTGGACAAGGGCCGGAATTAGAAATATCTGACTTCTGTCTCAGTTTTTTCATCAAGTAAAATCAGTAGAAGTGGTCTATTCCTGCCCTAAAATCTAAGGATTAGAAGTGTTTAAATGGCCTTGTTCTGTACAATAGGAGGGTTTCACTATTGGTGCTGCTGTGAATGGCTGAGGGAGGCAGCTGGAAGGACCTGTGGATTATAGCCCTGAACCCTCCTCACCACTCCTATATGGGTAATCCGTCCCACCCCAGGCAACCAGTATTGTGGCTTCTTGGGATGAGGGGTTGCCCAGAAGCCCAGAACATTCTTAGAACACCAGAGAAGCTGCTTCCTGGAATGACTTCTAAAATTACAAATTTATGAGTTGCAAAGGGGACCTTACAGAATCATAACTAAAGAAAATACTAAGTTACAAGGGTTGGGGGTGGGGGTGGGGTCTTCTCTCCGTCCTTCTGGTGTTTGGCTGAAATTAAATTAAGTGCAGCAGAAGGTGTGCTGGGTTGTCATCTGTGTCCTCGCTTATTAATCTTCAACCAAGCACACATAGCCAGCTGCTGCAGGTGAGCCTCCTTCCAGAGAACATACATGCTACTTGGGTGTTAGCTCATTACCTTTATGTTACTGTTTTGGGTTGTTTTTTGTTTTGTTTTGTTTTTTGCAGTTTGTGGCCAGGGCTGGGTTTGAACCCACCACCTCCAGCATACGGGCTGGCACCCTACTCCTTTGAGCTACAGGCGCCTCCCTATGTTACTGTTGTTTTCAAACCTGATTATGTAGCAAGCTGGTAAAATCTATCAAAGGCAGCTTTATTCAATCAGGGTTCACCCAGGGAGCTTCTCAGCCAGCCAGGCCCCTCCCTCCCTGAAATCCATAACTCACACTGGCCCTCATCAGCCCTCTGTGGTTGCAGCCCATCTCCCTACAGAGACTTCTACACAGTGGGCTATTCAGGGTGACACATTTGTTCTTAGATGTTCCTCTGAACTTTTTAGTTTTTAACAGGTGATAGTAGAGAGGTGGTCAGAGAACCTATTTCTCTTTTCTAGTTTTATATAATCTTACATATTAGAGCTGGAAAGGGCTGCTAGCAACTGACTGCTTCAGCCTTTCACTTTGTGAGTCCTCTGAGACTTAGGCTACACACTGTGCCCAGATCACTAAGTAGTTTATGGAGCACTTTGTATTTCTGTGCTTCCATTCACTACCAAGCCATGCTTTTTGTGGCAGTCTTTCCGAAGTCTGGCTCTGCCAGGGACTTCTGAACATTTTAATCGTTCAGTCGGAAGCCTTGCCAAAAAGGTGCCAGAGGGTTAACACCAAGATTTGGGGCAAGTCTTTTCCACATCTGAGTAACAGAAGAAAACTACCTTATTTTGTCATGTAAAATATACTCCTCTATATAATGCATACCCATGTTTTTGGCCCAAACTTTTAGGAAAATGCCCCTTGAGAAAGTGGCTCTCAGCCAGGAGAGATATGTCTGGGGAGGGCTAACACTGCCCTGGTAAACATGCAGATTTCATTGCCCTCCCTTAGCTGCCTACTCTGTGAAGGCTGCTCCTTCCCTCTCTCCCCAGAGCCCTTCCCTCCCTGCCATGTGGTAGTGTGAGACTTCAGCTTGATGGCCATGCATGTAACTGGCAGTGCAGAAGCTTCTGAGGCTGCTTGGCCTGTAGGCAGCAACGCAAGTCCCTCGGGCCTGCACAGAGTTCCCCAGTCCCCTCTGTGTGGCCCTGAGGACCTTGGCCCTCACCCAACACAGCTGCAGCCCACCTTGCTAGCCCCACCCCCACCTCCTCCCCTGATTGGGGCAGTTGGCAGAGGCCAGTCTGGCTTACTCCCAACAGATCCCAGATCTTCTTGGACTGGAGCCCTGTGAACGCTGCAGACCCTGGCGAGAGGGCACAGTGACCCTGGGAGGCCCACTGGGCTCCCCTGCTCCCAAGCCGTACTACCTATGTGTAATGCGCATCCTTATTTTTCCCTCAAAAATTTGGGCAAAAAAAGGGCGTGCATTATATACAGCAAAATACAGTAATCCTCCTAATTGTTATGAGTAAATAAAATGATTTATGCAAAGTGCTTACCACCACATATGGCATAAATGGAGATCATTAACTATGACGACAACCTGTGATGACAGCCTGCCCTGCAGTCAGCTCACTGGCCTGCCTTAGCTAGGTTCAATCACCTGTAGAAGACCCACTCCCAGTTATGCCATCACATTCTTGTTCTTGGCATCTCTGTCTAAACATCTGTTCCCATATAAAAATACTCCCTAAAGTTCAGGGTCGAGGGTAACTTATTCTAAGCTGGGCACTTAGAAAGCACATGATGAGGAGAACACACTTCAGAACACTGGTGTTTTCCGTCTTGTTTCAGGAACTAAACCGTTTACGAAAGGCTGCGTTGGCCTTTGGTTTCCTGGACCTGCTGAAAGGGGTGGCTGACATGCTGGAAAGGGAGTGCACACTGCTACCCGACACTGCCCACCCCGATGCTGCGTTCCAGCTGACCCATGCTGCCCAGCAGCTCAAGCTGGCCAGTACAGGCACCTCCGAGTATGCGGCTTATGACCAGAACATCACACCTTTGCATACAGACTTCTCTGGGAGCAGCACTGACAGAATGTGAAGCTGACTCTTGGAGCTTTCTTTTTTCATTTCATTTGAAAATGATTTAGTTTCCAGTATATTCACCTCTGGAATAGCTACCCAAAGACCTCCCTGCAGCTGACTCAGGAAGGCTATTTTCAGTGACTCTTAATGTGACAATGGTCTGGCTGGTTGGGCTTTAACTTTAGCTCTGGGGACTTAGAATCTTTAAGCCCTAAAGGTAGCTGTGGTTCCCATGATGGGCACATCTGCTAAGAAGGTGGAATGACCGAACAGCACAGAGGTCCCCTGCCTTCCTCAGGAAACCTGACTGGCAAGGGTTCTCTGGATCCCTGAAAGCATCTTCTCTCCAGTTTTATATCTCAACTATAAAGGCACTTTCAAGCTTTGTTCTTGGGATGAACAACTCAGACTGTTAGGGACTTGCTAAGTACAAACCCAACACCACTAAGTTTCAGAACTTTCCTTAGGACTTGGGCAAATTGTGGTCGTGGACCTTAGGTACTTTTGGCATGTTTTGAGATACAGACTTTTAAAGAACAACCATGTATAAAATGATTCCGGTTTCTTCACTTTTTTAATGAAAATAAAATGTTGGATTTTTTATAAGATAGTTTCACTGTGAAACTAATGTTCCTTTGCTTTTTGGACTGCCCTACCACTTGAATTTCCACTTTCTAAATGGCATACATCATGAGGTTTTCTTGGGTTCCATACTGACTTTCCTGTTTCTGGCACTGATTAGGCCTCATTGCCTAAGCAAAATTGTGGTCAGCAGATTCAGACAGATTACTGATGCCAAAGACAGTCAGCATCATGACCTTGGATAAAGCATGACCTTAGGCAACTTCTCAAGGCTTTATTTACAACATCAATGCTTTTCCAATTGCTCTTTGCACCTACTTTGTTGTAACTCCCTCAGGTTTCATCCAAAGAACTTTTTTTTTTTGAGACATAGTCTCACTTTGTTGCCCTCAGTGCTTGCTGTGGCATCACAGCTTACAACAACCTCAAACTCTCAGGCTTAAGCGATGCTCTTGCCTCAGCCTCCCAAGTAGCTTGGACCACAGGTGCTCTCCACAACACCTGACTATTTTTAGAGACAAGGTCTCACTGTGGCTCAGGCTGGGCTCGAACTCCTAAACTGAGGCAATCCACCTGCCTCGGCCTCCCAGAATGCTAGGATTATAGGCATGAGCCACTGCGCTTGGCCAGAGCAACTATTTTTGGTTTCATGTGCTGAACATACGATTTTGCCTGAGCAAAGTAATTTTATCATTAACAGCTGGAAAACCATTAGATTAAATGAATTTAGAGCACAAGTTATTAGGATTTTGATTGTAAATATTTTAATAGAAAGACACAACCTTTCACTTCCTCAGACAGCAATAAAGGGGTTTGTAACAATCACTAGGAATACAGAATTTTGCCACGACGATGCAGCATAGTCTACTGCAAAGCTGATGTACCCAATACACAGTTGAAAGAACATCAGAATCAATATAAACAAGTGTTGACATGTTACACGCATTCAAAACATCCTTCAGTGCAATGAATTTTTAGAAAATCAGCCAGCCGATCCTAATCAAATGTTTTAGGTCAGACTTTCCATTTTGGGCTCAGTGAAACAGCATTAACTCATGGGTCCCCTTTCCCCCAGGAACAGGGAGAATGGCAGAACAGAAAGAGCTTATGCCTTAAATTCTTTTATACACGTGTTACTTCTAACACATTTTACTTGGTTTACTTCAAATGTATTAGAGGAAACAATTTTTTTTACAATGGCCAACCATATGTCTAGATTTTTTTTTAGTTCCACTTTTGGCGGGTTTCTTGCCTAGAATCCTTGTTAAAGGATCACCTGGTGATTATCCACTCAAAGTTCCCACTCTGTTTTCAGCATCCTACTACAGACAGGTAAAAAAGCCAATCTAACAACAGCAGAATAAAAGCAAGTGTTTTTGAGGTTTATTCAAAAATACACAGTCCCATCACTCACTTGGGACAAAAACACGAGTAAATAGACTCAGCCAGTACAGAGAAGGACGACTAACACATTTCTAAGTTTGTGTACAGCTTAGGCGAGAATTTGGAGGTGGGTTTGGCCTCCTCTGCTGCTTCCAGTTTGTCACAGGCTGCGTTGCCAGCAGCTGTAGTATTACCAGTTTGACCTGCGTATTTGTGTTCCCTCCCTTCTGACCCATGCTGCCATTTGAGTTTGCAACTCTTACAGTTTCACTGCTTTCTAAATCATGTTTCATCTGTCTTTAGTGTTGACAATAGTTCTGATTTAGCTAAGAATGAAGCAGTGTTCCAAGGTTCTGACTGGTTCCGCTCATATCATCCTGGGCCTCCCTAATGCCCACGCTGCAGTAAGAGATGTTATGCCAAAAGATACCGAAAATAAGTTCTTTAGCCCCACTCTGACTCAGAAATGTTTCATCAATGACTGTGTCCACTTGATTTTTAAGATGTCAGTGCCACCCCACTCAATAAGTAATCCCCTGGGTACAGAATATATTAGGTCCTACCTGAGTCACTTTTAACAGCCTTCTATAGAGGAGTAAAATTTTGCTTTTTTCACAAGCAATAGCTAAAAAGAACAAATCCCAACTGTAAGAATGGTGAGTACGATGTAAAGATAGAGCTCTAAGAGAGTAACTCTGGCATGTTGAAAGAGGCTGGGCAGGAAGTGGGGTGGGGTGGGCTGAGCGTTTTGCTGTTGTTAACTGAATGCAAGAGAATGAACCTGTCATCAGATATCAGGAATCCATGTCATGCAAGTACTACACCAAGATAATACAGTAAATTTAGGACTGTTACGGGGAAAAGGAAGGTAGCCTCACTGAGAATTTAATGGTTTAACTTAAAAAAAAAAAAATACATTTACATTGGTACAAGAAGGTAAAACTGTAAGAATCACAGATTAGGCTCAACTGGCAAGAAGCCATCTAAATCTCTTTCTTAGTGGGTCTTTTTCTTTTTTTGTCCATAGCGCCGTCTGCGCTGTTTATAAAGGTGACGAAAATTTATGTATAACCCTGTAAAAAAGAAGAGGCCGATTAGAAATGAGAATCTTTATTTATACCCAGAAGCTCTTGGGGCAGGGACAGTCTCTAGCTGTCTGTTTTTCTTACTTCCCAGCACTAAGATTACTGCAGTTGCTCAGGAAGTACAACTTAGAACAAATTGTTCACAATGCACTAGAGATAGAGATAACCCAATTTTTCCTCAGTGGGTTTACAATTTAATTTCCCCCCAACATCCTTATAAAAATTTTCAAACATACAAAAAGATAAAAATCATTGTATGGTGAATACTGCCTAGATTTAAACTCAACTTTTACTGTGATCGCTTTATCACATACCTGTTCATCCCTCTGTCCATCTCAGTTTTGATGCTTTTCAACATAAGCTGCAGACATCACTATACTTTATCCCTTAATGCTTCATTAAGTATAGTTCAATATTCTTTTTTCCCCTTTCTTTTATAGTAAAATTTATGTACAATGAAATGCCCAAATGTGAAGTGCAGAAAAAAAATTCAAGGCTACTCATGAATATGTATTATTCAGTAGTCTAAAAGGCATGAGACTTTTCTAGGAAGAATAATTCAGCAAATCAAGAAACACAAGATTTCAGAGTCAGAAACAAGTTTCAATCCTGCTTGACCACTGACTAGTTCTGCAGCTTACCCTCACCTTAATTTACTTGTTTATACAATAGAGTAAAAGTAAGTACGTCTTTAAAATAAGCCTTCTTGTTAGGGAATGAATGTATGTTTTAAAAAGTGCTTTGACTTATATACCAATGTTAATTGGAGGCTTATATATACTGCTTCAAAACTGTAAATGTGAATTTAGGATTTATCTCATTCTAAAGAACAAGAACAACTATAGGCAAACTAAATGAGCATAAAATCTTACAAATTAGTATAAAACAATAGAAAGAAAAGATACTAGGGTTAATTACACATTAGACTATTTTTATCCTACTAACTTTTAGTTAAGAGTTGTTCCAATACTTATTCCTCATTATCACTTTGTTTGTTTGTTTTGTGGTTTTGTTTGAGACAAAGTCTCACTCTTGCCCAGACTAGAGTGCCCTGTCAGCCTAGCACACAGCAACCTCAAACTCCTGGGTCCAAGGATCCTTCTGCTTCAGCCTCCCAAGTAGCTGAGATTATAGGTACCCACCACAACGCCCAGCTAATTTTTCTACTTTTACTAGAGACTGGGTCTGGCTCTTCCTCAAGCTGATTTCCAACTCTTGACTCAAGTGATCCTCCTGCCTGGGCTTCCCAGGATGCTAGGATTACAGACGTGAACCACCACACCCAGCCATCTTTATCACTTTTATTACAACAATTTCATGCAGCCTAGTTACAGTAATAAAGAATTATTTTTAATAAGTGCATTTTCCTAGCTGGAGCTTACTGTCTTCAAAAGCCAAATAACGTTTTTGGTTAGATGTCTTTCTGAAATAGATTATACCCTTTGCTGAAATGAAAAATATAAAGAAATGGAATAAAATTTAACCTTGTGCAAATGACTTAGACCCAGGATATATATTACTTAACTGTACGCCTCCCGTGTACTGCCATGCTAAGGGTTCCTAAAGCTATGGTATAGGTCTCTTCCCTCTTAATACTAAATGACCAAGACCTCT